GCCAAGCTTTCATAATGATAAATAAGGCTTTAGTGAGCCAAAAAGTAGAATGATTGCTAAGATCTATTCTCACAATGCAAAATCAGAATGTCATTAGTAACGCTATTGCTTTATGGTGATGAGAAATATGTGGTAATTAATACTATATTTAAGTGTTATTTAGGTCTATACATATATCATACAAAAGTAATGATGCGGGCCTCCCTCCCGCTCTCCAGCTTTGCTACAGTTCCAACCATCTGAACCACATTCCTACAGCTTAGCTACAGTTCCAGTACTTCGCCCGCACTCCATGATTGTTCATACCACCCAAAACTGCCCTAGACGCTATTAATTCATTGTCCAACCCACCTATCTCCTTGCTACCGTCTCTCTAAATATTTGTTGATCAACACCTCTAACCCGAGATCCTCTCTAGGTATTTGTGTTGTGTCTGTTGTTATTTCAAATTTTTGGAAGTTGTGTTGCTGTGTTATCCTTTTCAAGGGTATTGGTTGTAACCGCCTGTTGGCTTTCAATGATAATATTTGTTTTTCCTATTGTGGTATGGGTTAACTTCGGTATCAAGCGAGTTCAAATTTTATAAGTACTATTTATATTAACTAAAAATTTGCATACAACTTATCATATAAAATAATTAAATGATTTTCTTTCAACTGGCCAACTTTTAATTTTGTTTAATCTTAGAAGAATACAATTAATCATTATTGAAAATTTATTGAAAAATAAAATTAAGTTAAATGCAATCTTTAATATGTACTCTAAATTATTTTTAATATATATTTAATGATTATTGAAATAATAAGCAACAAATATCAAGTAAGGCGTCACATTAACGAGACATAGTAAAGCGATGAATTAATTAGTAAAACCAACAATGTAATGAACATATCAATTAAGATAATGAAATTAATCTTTCTTTTCTAAAAAATATGGACATGGTGGAGTATTTGTTATTAATATTTGGAGTCGATGCAGGATTGCTATAGAATGTTTAGTCTTCTCCGATAGGTTACAAATTTATTTTATTCTTTTTCAAATTATGCATGGTGCTTTTGATCTTACACTAAGGACATAATGGTGATTTGGTTTGCATTTATAAAAAGGAACCCTGCTCGTATAAATGTGTGATACTGGAGGAGGAAGGTTTGGAGAAGATTTTACAAGAACAACTAAGAAAGTAAAGAAAAGAAGCACTAATCAAATAAAGAGCTAGATACAAGAGTTTCTATTTTCACAAACATTCCTATTCTCACAACCAATCAAGATACAAAAATCACCATCTAAACGATTGACTACAGGAGGCGTGGGATGTCACCACCAACAACGAAGGGATATAGTTCCCACCACCCAACGATGTGGCCGGAGACTCATTCCCATCCGGGAATCACATAGAGAGCCCTAACCCTTAGACAATTCACATGAACCAAAGACCCATATTACAACACATGATCACCTATTTATAAATAGTAAAAATCCCCTTATTACAAGTGTGCCATCCAAATAGAAAACACATAAAGACAACATAAAAACTGAACTTTAATATAATGCGGACTCAAATGGCTCGATCATAACTACTCCGGATCAAGATTAAGACAATCCTTATCAAGATGAGCCTTGTGATTTTTTAAGGTGGTTGATGATAGTTAAGTGCTATTAAGCCCTAAATCCCTCTCTCCATCCCTCTTCTTCGTAGCCCAACATCCTTACTCTAATTTTGGCTTCTCCTTTGCCCTTTTCTTTGCATGTTGATCCTCATATGTCTGCTATTAAGCCCCTAAATCCCTCTCTCCATCCCTCTTCTCCATAGCCCAACAACCTTACTCTAATTTTGGCTTCTCCTTTACCCTTTTCTTTGCATCTTCACCCTCATGTCTAAAGATCCTCTGTGAATAGCCTACTTGGGCAACTTATTCCTTCTCCATAGCAATCTTCTACCTCCTATGCCCACCTCTCTCGTTCTATTATTTTGAACCTTGCTCTGTTCGAGGAATTTGAGCTCAATTCCTCTCTCCATTGTACAATCAGGGGATTTTCTCATGTTTGTTTCATGTTTATGTGTTTTCGTTGTGTGTTTTCTGGGTCAAACTTTTGCCAAATATATTATTTCTCTTATTTGCAATTCTTACCAGTTTTTTTATTCACAATTTTTGCTACTGCCCTTACTATTTTTTCTGTACGGCCCAACACCTCTGCATCAACCGTTTTTCTATGCTCACTATTGCTCTGCTTATTGCCTCATTGTGTTAATACCGACTGATTTGCTAGTTTCAGTTCTGCTAATTTTTTTAGTTGCATTTGATCTAATCTCCTAGAGATCCCCTTCTCCTTCTGCTTTTGATTGTCGCTACTGCTGATTACTGTTGCCTCTTGTGTACTGCCCCCTATATTCTCACTAAACTTTCTCTATAATATCTCTTATTTTTTTGTTCTCACATCTACCCCTATGCAAAGTGACTTTCACCCATTTGACCTTCCACACCAATACGATTCCTACATGATGTGCTTGAGCATGTTAGGCGATTCTTGTTCTGACTACAGTTGGCACACCACACTGCCTCTTGTAGCCAAAACCATCCCAATGCTTAACAATGAACTTGGACCCGACCAACCTTGCATCTTGGTTGTCTTCCATGCTTTGCTTCAATTGTTTGTTGGTCATACCTAGCTGTGTTATTAATCAAAACGTCTATGTTGAATTCTATGCACTCCACTTATTGATAGTTGCAATTTTTTTTAGGCAGTTTTATTTATGTTTTTATACCTTTGCTGTTTGCATTTTGCAAAAAAGCTTTTTTAAGCCATAGTTTCTGTTCTGCTTTCTTGAAAGCCGTTTTTTAAAAAGTAAATTCTGAGAGAAGATAAAGTTTATTTTAAAAACGTACTCTGTTTTTTTTCCATTTTTCTATAAATCCTAAATTATTTTGTTTTTAAAAATTGTTTAGAAGTTTCTTCCAATTTGGTGAGATGCTGTGCTGCCTTCTGCTAAAAATCAGCTAAAACTCTCTACCGTTGTTGCAAACTAGCTATCTTTTGCTATTATCTTTCATAAATCTTTCACTGTAATTTGTTGAAATTTTTTTAAAATTTTATCTAAAATGTTTGCGGTTTGAAGCAGCAGGTAGCGATCCAATAGCCGAATAAAAAAGTGTGTTTTGACATTACCAATTTATCCTCAATATTTGTTTAATTTATGTAACATATATTTCCAATCTACTGCAAGTGTGTGATATGCTGATGCATACTGAATCTAAACCTCCAACTCTACTAATTGAAGCTTATCCTTTTGTTCCTTCATTTCAAGATGTGCACGACTCCATTCCATGTCGTCAGTGCCATGGACACCTTCAAATTCTTCAAGTAGGATTCTTTATGACTTGAGCAATATTTTGAGCTAAAGCCTCAAACTCTGCCAATTAAAGCTAAACTTGGTATTCCTTCTACACTTAAAGATGTGCACAAGCCCGAAGCACCCAATTACTAACTTGGAGGACTTCTTCAGATTCTTCGGAGTAGAGTTCTTTGCTGCCCAAGGGGATTGATACAGGATCTAATGTTTTCACTCCTCTGTTAAGATCATATAGGGAATCGTAGTTTTCTAGAATTTATTTCATGTTATGTTCTATTTAAGGGTGTACTTAGTGCATAGATATTTCTAAACAAGTTTTGAGGAGAGGCTGATTTACTCGACATGCATGTTATTTAATTCTTTTGTTTTGTTCAAGTTAATCCCTTTTTATTTCATTTTTATGTTGTATTTATGAAAAAGGCCCTTCTATTTAAAGGGGTTCCTTAAGATGTTTGAATTGATGGATGTCATTAAACCCAAAATCCCTTTATCCTTGTCACCACCTCTTCCCCTGGCGTAGCTGACCATCACTTCTCTCCCATTTTAAACCTCTCTCATATTGAGGGGCAAAGACGGTTTTAACCATAGGTGTTTAGAAGGGGAAAATCTTTTATTGTATGTGTCTATGTTTGTGAATTGATAGGACTGCAGTTAGCAACAGGCCATTGCATTGTAAGATTTGGCTCCGACCTCTTCTCTTCTGTGGGTGAAGAGCATGTACAAGCACTCATACAGGGTGGTGTGACGTGGCCTCTAGGGTGGGATTCTCGCATAGCGGGCATGCACTAGGTAGGGAATGTTAAGGATCTATGTATAAAGACCTAAAATTTTATGTTGTTTTGGGCCTAGCCACTGCCGGCGCGACCCTCTAGTGTCCTCACTATAGATTCACCCGTTCTTTTCTCTCCCTCTTTCCTCCCAGGTCTAATAGATTCTCTTTATCTTTTACCTCATTTACATCTCCTCATTCCTACCAGCTTTCATGGTAACTTTATCCATTTTTTCAAGGTAATCTGCCACTACCGGAGCATTTTTTCTCCAATCACTGTCGGTGCTCTTGTTAGCAATGGTGCTGGAGCTCTATTCTGGTCCTCAACTGGAAGATACGTTGTCAGTTGGCCCATCACATATTTTGTAGAAAGATGGGGATTTGAGATTTCCTCTTCATGGCAAATTTAAGTGACTGCAGATTCGACCTTTTGGATGGAAATATGAAATTAAATGATCACCATTTTGCGCAGAGAGGGGCAATTTTTCATCTCGTCACTAATGATCTCTTATACTAAGCCAAGGACTGTTCTACAGGTAAGGTCTTTTAATTATAACTTACGAGAGATGCAAGCAATGTAGAAACTCGTGCATTATTATTTTTCTGATTAACTGTATTTTAATAAATTTGCAAATATGCTATGCCAAAGATTTAAGAAGTATTCTAAGCAGTGAGAAAGGTATCTTCTTTGGAATGTGAACTTTTTATATTTATTTTTATTTAATTATTAACATATTGAAAGTCGACTTTGTTTGATTGTTAGCATATAAGTTGGTCTGAATGTATGAGTCAAACATATTTTCTTTTTTCACGAACATGCTGCGAATAAAAGAAATTACTGAGGGATTACTTAACCCTTGCATCTTGACTTTTCTTTTGCAGGCAGACTGAAAAAGCCTATCTTCTTATTGACTTTTCAGATTATTTGAAGATAAACGTGTATGAATGCTTTACTCTGGATACGTTATCTTTGACATCTATTTTTTTGCCTATCATATTATATTTATCATACTAATGCAAGACTTTATCTTCAGTTATGTGTTAGGTGCTGTTTTCTTGCAGCTGTGCAAAATGTTGAGGCTTTCTGATCATCCTATTGTTCAAAAACTTATTGATCCAAGCCTTTTCATCCATCGGTTCACAGAGCGTTAGTTATATTCACTCTTATTTTTTATACAGTTGAATTTATTCTATCTTATAATTTATGCTGTATGTGCACAGTTGTACTTTCAAAATAGGAATTTAGCACCTAGTATTTACGGATTTCTCATGTCAAAATGTGAGCATAACCTTTACTCTTCGTTATGTCGTGGTTTTTTGTTTGGTTGGTGTACTGAAAAAAAGCATGAATTTTGGTTTTTTAGGTGTTTGATTTGAAGCAAAATAAATGCAAATGATTTCTTGAGGTACCCCAAAAGTTCATTTTTGATGAGTTCCAAATCCTCTTCCTTTTGACACTGCTCCTCCCTCCTGTCACACATGACTCTCCTTTGGCATCAACGCACCATGAACATCCCTCTCCAACACATCCTTACCTAATAGAGTTCTCCTTTTTTGGTTTGATATCACATGCTCCATCAGTTGGCTGTTAGCCCTTCTCCCAATTTGTGTGGTAGACCATATAGATGACTTCTGCATTCGAACTTCCTTTCCCTGTGCTATTTACATTCCTCCACCTCCCTGCCCCACTCCGTCTTTGGCTCTGCTTCTTCATCCACCTCTCCCTTTGGCAAAATGAATTGAAAATTTCTAAAAAGTGTCAACAACTAAGACAGAAAAGCTCTCTTACTCCTATTTTGGCAATTTGGACTACATGCCGAAGATAACTATTCTCCCATTAGAAGCTTATCCCATAATATCACCAATTTAAGTTCAGTTGCTTTAAAGGACAATTCTTCATATGAACTCATTGTAAATAAGAAGAAAGTTACTACTTGGATAGTATATCTAGAAGCCTCTGCTCTTATGTTAGGACATTGAAATGTCTTTAATATTTTCAAACTATACTTTGAAAATTATAGTATTTGGATTTTTTATGGGTATTTTTGATGGGTCACTTTTGAAAAGCTCTTGTAGCATTCCTATCATTCTCAAAAGATACGATACTCGACTCTTTATGCTTCAAGTGCCTAACCTAGATTGCAATGAACTATGCTTCAAGAAACTCGATGCAAAATTATGTTGCTACTTATCTAATTTTTGCGGTTTTTAGGACTTGAACTCGTAGAAGATGATTGTTTGTGCATAGATGAGTTTAATACTGTTTTCTAATGAATCCCTTGAGTGTAAGCTCAAACAATAGGTTTTGTATTCATGAAAATCACAGTTCAAATAATAATAGTGATGCCCTTTTACCAAGGAAAAATCAAAGAGCTTTTAATGTGAAATGTGTTATATGGCTAAGCCGTTCTAATGTTTTGCTATTATCCACAATGATGTGTGAGTTTCCTCTAGAGTTAAAATGGTTTATCGAGCTGGATGACTTTGTTTCTTCATTATTGGCCTTACTTGGTTTTTCTAAATGAAAGAAAAAAATTGAAGCATGACAAATTTTTAAGTATTTTAACAACTAGGTGCACACTCAATTTTAGGCCAAAATTCATAATCCGAAAAATCGAAAATGCTAAAAATTAGTTCGAGTCAGATCATAGAAAATTTTCTTTTACTTAAAGGGATTTTCTACTAAAACTTCCATGTCAACTCCACATAAATTAGATTTGTTGAGAGGAAAAATTGACACCTCATAGAGGTGGCTAATCATTAGTACTTTTAACAAAATTCATAATTTGGGAGATTTTATGCTAATAACTATGTCTAATTATTAGAATGCCTTTAAGAGTTATTAAATTTTAAACCTTTGTTCGATTCATTCTGTATTCAATTTTTTCAAAACAAAATCATTTCCATTCACGATAATTTTTTAACAATAGAGCAAATTAGTCTATAAATTTATCAAGGGTATTTTCATTGGATACTCAAATAAAAAGGGCATATTTTTTTACCACTTGAAAAGGTTATAATGGCTTGAATGTAACATTATTTGAACACCTACTTTATTACTCCAAATCTAAAATTTACGGGGTTGAAATTCAGGAACAGGAACTTTTATGTTGAAACATTTAATTATCCACCATTCTTTCTCATCAAATCCATTTAATTATCCACCATTCTTTCTCATCAAATCCATGGAAAATGAATATTCCTTATTGCCCCTCATTCAACTAAATAAAGCTTCACTAAATCCACAAATTCTCACATCACCTTATCAATCTATCCAACTTCTTAAGCCTTACCAAAATTTCACTCCCTTATCACCTTGCAAAGGCACCCAGCCTATGCAGAATGAACTTAATTATCATACTAGGAGAGAAGAAAGAAATTATCAATGTATCTCCATTGCATCCAAAAACCTAGACATCCAATCAATGTTCAAGTTCCAATAATCTACAAACTGATGAGATTAAATCTTTGAATTATCTTATTGATCTCCACTGCCCTATTCCCTTAAGGAAAGTATTGAGGTTATGTCTCAAATACCCAATCTTTGATATTATGATTTGCGAAGGGTTTTCCCATCATTTTGTGTTTTTTATCTATTCTCTTGATAAATTATAAATTCTAAGCAATAAATATGAAACTCTTATAAATTTAAAATTCTAAACAAGTATTACGTGATTTTGTGTTTTTACCAGACATGGTTCAAGGGCCAATAACTTTATGCTTTGTTGTTAAATGTGGATTCCAAAATTAAAGGTTAGTTGCATTGTTTTTTTCATTCTTGGATAGTTGTTTCCTACCTATTTATTGACTTTTTAAAAAAAATAATATAAAAAAAAATTCAACCTTTTTTCCATTTTTTAAGAATTTGTCATAATTTTTTTTCTAAATAAATTCACTCTTTTCTTATTACATGTTTGACGTATTACAAATTTAATAAATAATAAATAAAAGAAATACTTATATTTCTCAACATTTTTAGAAAATAATCTATGGGGGTCCTATAAGGTTAGTTTTACAAAAAATTCAAATCAGATTTATAGGTCTTTTATCTTACTGATGTGCAGGCTTGTTAGGTCGAAGGCATAATCCTGTGTCTGAAATAGCACTGCGCATTGTTGCTAGCATGAAACGTGACTGGATGCAGGCAAGCCTTTTGATCTCCCATCACTTTCCTAAGCATTGTGAGGTTTGAAGTTGAGGTAACGTGAAACTATGAATTACAGACAGGCAGGAAACCTAGTGGCTTATGTGGTGCGGCATTATACATATCTGCACTTTCTCATGGCTTCAACTATTCTAAATCAGATGTTGTGAGTCTACTCAACTTTTGTTTCTTTTTTGGGGCATTTACATACACACCACCCAATTTTTATCATATCACATAAAAATATCACCATTTTAACCTTTAAAAAGTGAAATACGCCTTTGATGCATAGGTAAGGTGGTCTATATGTAAAAAATTAAAGTTTAGATGTTAGATATTGTAAATACATAAGAATTGAGTGGTATGTATGTCAATAATCCTTCTTGTTTTTGCATTTCATGATAAAACTTTTGTCTTTAGTTCATTTGATCCAGTGTTACCGAAAGTGCAAGGTGCTTGGTTCCATATTACTCACTTTTGCAATCAAGTACGCTAAACAGTTAATTAGCAATTTCACTTAATAAACCAAATTCAATAATGATGCATTCTTCAGAAGAGTATGACAAGCAAATTGATACATTCATTATAGTTAGGTAAAAGAATAAATTGACTTTTTTTAATTAATTTTTGCATTTTGTGTTAAAATCTTACTCAATGGATATATTAACTAAAATATTCAAGCGATATCTTTAGATGAATATTGGCATTTATTATCCTCAAGAAACAAAAATGACATCCTTAAATAATTTACGCTATTTATGTCACAACTCAACTTGAGGGTCACTCTTGGTGCGACAGAGGTTGGCAATTTGGTCGCACCAATTCTTACCGACACTCGTCCTAACTTGTATGACCAGGACCCAGTGGCCGATAAATTAATTTAACTAGATCGCTGGAACATACATGATATATTTCATAATTCATTCACATATATACTCAGAAGCATGAAAATCATATGATCTAAATCATGAAAACTATATAGAGCTGTTAAATCTAATATCATTGAAATATGTATCCAAAACATATATGTACAAGCCTCCAAAACTATCATGCAAAAGCTGTGCAAAGACGCACTGGATACTCATCCCGGTGCTTGTTGCCCTTACCTAGAAGACAACAATGAAGAATGGGCTACAACGAGTTCAAAGAAATAATCAGGGCTAAAATTAGATTTTATACATGAAAAAAAATGTGCTTGCTCGCATGAAACTATATATTTCTATACATAAATCATAACATGCTAATATAATAGAGAACATGAAAACAGAGCAGTTACAAGTAGTATAAAAAAATCAAGACTGAAGTGTCACATGTAGGTCGTAAGCATGAAATCATAAGTATAAGAAAATCAAGACTGCAGTGTTACATGTAGGTCCTAAGCATGAAATCATTAGTATATCTAAAGCATGTTGCATGCTCATAATATATTATTATAGCATTGTCATTTCATATTGATCATATCATAATAATGTCACTTTTTTAATATATATGACTCAACTATTTCTATATTCTTTCATTATGGCTTGACGGTTGTCATCCTGCCCCAAAGACTATATAAACTATCAATAAAGGTCGGGTTTCCCCCAACATAACAGTTATTGATAGCCCCCCATACCCATGGTTCCCTAACGTTATGTCACCGCCTAATCTCAACGGTTCTCAGAGTTTCGTTTCCGTATAAATATCAGGAGTCGGGAATACTATATCCCTGCATAATAGACTTGCAAGCACTCATGTAATAGTCTACCTTTAACATTCCTTGTGACATTTAAGTCATCCTTTTTGTATCAAATATTTATAAGACATTACATGTATCATAGGTATGAAACATAATAAATGAATACTTGCAGGGAATTCATATTATAAATATAGTCATATGTAGCACAGTCTGATCACATCATTACATGTATCATAAAAAAAGTAAACGTGCATTCACTCATTTAATTGCTAATATTCATTCACAATATGTAAAAAATTCTAAATGCACGTGTCAAAATAGAAATTATATGAAAACCTATAGAAGATTATTTTTTTTAAATTAGCATAAGATTATTTCACCTAACTTGACAGAGCAGCCCTACGACGAGTGCGGATACGCTTGTCTCGAGCTCGCCTCCTTGTATATATAACTTGAGGCGTTAGAAAAAACATAGGATTTCATAAAATTTGGCTTATAACATGTATTAACCCAAAAATGTATTTTACGTGCCAAAACAAATAGCTTTTCGACATAAATTTGTATTTCCAAAATCACCAATTTTCTCATTAACTCTTTCTAACACCTTAATCTTTACTTTCCCCTCGCTGATTTTGTGCTAAAAATCATATAAAAGTTTTCAAGCGACTTTCGACGCTTCTGATACAATTTCGACACTTCCAACGGCTACTGGAAACCAAAAAAACACGAAGAAAGAGATAAACTTTAAAATGGAAAGGCAAGGAAGGAAATGAAAGTTTCAAACGACGTAAAAAAGGATTCACACTTACAAAAGTTTCTTTGGAACTCAAGATTGTGCTCTGCGGCTGCTCAGTTTACTGCTAGCTTGCAACCCTTGTACTGTAGCAAGGGTTGTGGGGCTCTGCTCAGCCACGCGTGAAACGAGCAGGGAGGGGGATCGCAAGAGAGGAGGAATTCGGGAGGAGAAAATCGAAGCTCGGTATACCCCTTTTCAATTTGACGAAGGAATTAAAAAGGCGTGAGGCGGTGGGGAACAATGCATGTGCGGGAGATTAAGGGAGGATTAGGATAATTAAATAAAACTTATAACTTTCGGATTTTTAATTCTCCTATTCCGTCCATAATTAACATACAATGCTTTATATGGAATTGATCGATTTCCTTCTTAGAATTGAATAAAATTATTTTGATCTAATTCCGAGGGATGTAAAATTTGATGTACTTTTCAATTTTACCGAAGATAGTTTAACCATTCAAGCTTGTAGCATGCATAGTAATGTAGGTAAATTTAGCTTTTATTATCCCTAATGCAACTAGAATGGTGCGTTGAATGGAGATCAAAATGAGAAATTGACAATGGCTGCTTAATCTCTACTCCATTTGTAAGATATAATTACAGGTGAAGTACTTGCAAACATAATAATCAAAAGGATTATGAGGGTTAGTCTTTCAAAATTTATTAGACAAGTTCGGAATGGATGGCATCCATTCATTTGTTTGAGGGAGAGTGTGGAAGAAGCTTCTTGATTTTTTCCCTTTGCGTTGTCGTTGCCACCTTGAAGAATTGTAAGTTCATGTTGCCAACTCACTAATCCGTGAGAATTATGAAAATGGCTCTCTAACTTTAACTCTCTTTTTTCCTTGATCCTACCATTCATGAATTTGAGGGATACTTTCTGCCCACTCGCCAGTTTATGGGCTATTGCAACTAATTGCTGTTATTTTTTTCTTGATCTGTTATCTTTTCTATCAAAAGTTATCCTAGAATTATGTAAATTACAGAGTTCTGAAAACTGGACCAGATATTGAACTAGTAAAGAGAGAGAGGTTCAAGGTTAGAGGTTGAACTAGTTTTAACGGAAGACGTTATAAATTATAAATTTATTTAAATGTGATAGAGATGATGCAATTTAAAAAAAATTGATTATAAAATATAAAATAAAAATTTCAATATTTAAATTACTAATAGCATAATAATTTTAGAATGTATTTTAAAATTTAATAACAATTAATTTAAAAAAAAATTATAAATATGAAATATAACTATCAGATCATAATAATTATATATATATATATATATATATATATATAATAATAATAATAAACAAATTAAATGATTAAAAATCCTAAATTTTAGTTTTTTCAAGGTTATTTTTGATTCCATCTGTCACTCGCATGAGATCCCACCATATAGTTGTCTGCAGTGTTGTACTTCATTCCATCTCTGAATACGTGGTATTTAAGAACTCTCTGAATTTGCCACGTGCTATTTAGGAACTCTTTAACTGTTGTGCAATCATCTTCTTTCTCAAAACTCCATTTTTTACCCTCGGCTCGGTCGCCAATGTCTTTCTTTTCCATTGAAAACTCCCCAAACAGAGCACTTAGTCAAATTGCTTTCATATCTTTCCTTGGTCGACTGGATCTCGAAAAGCCACTGTTTTGAAAACCGTTAAACTCTTAATGCATAATTAAATGTGGTTCATGAATGCATAATTAAAGGTCCAGAACAATCTTTTCAATTTGCTGATAGACAGCAAAAACCGGCCAATTCTATTTAGCCGAGAACGGTTTTCTGGCTAGACCGGTGGTTCAGCGGTTAACGCCGATTCACTGCAAATCTGGTTTTTATTCCCAACAGGATCAGCTCCTTGCCTGGTCCTCGGTTGGACCAGTCCGACCGGCCGTTCCGGTCCGGTTTTTGAAACAGTGTTAAATTATGTACATTTTGGAATGAAAGATTCAACCATTTTTCAGTTCTTGTTAGTATGCATATGGTTTGCTTGTTTATTTGTTAGACGTTTGAGCAAAGGAGTTCCAAAACAAGATTCAAATCTTTTTTGAAAGTGAAATCAAGGTTTGCTAGGTTTTATGGTATTTAGCAATCAATCCATCAGCCATATGAAAAAGATAATTATCATCTGAAATTATTATTTCATTGTTTTTATGACTTTGTGGAATATAATTTATGATGCTTTCATTATACAAAGTATGGATGCGCTAATTGAGGAACATATTGATAAGGGCCTAAGAGACTAATTAGTGGTAAATGAGGTAGAGACACATAATTAGCTTAATAAGAGGATTCTCTGGGCACTTTCTAAAAGACTTCTATGGATTTAAAAAAAGCCTGAACAAGGTAAACTGTGTCAAGGAAGTTGAAAGAACCGTTTCTGTTTCATTTTTCCTGTGGAACGATTTTGAATTTCAGAAGGAATTACTTCGAATGTGAGGAATGATGGGCTTTTTTTATATTCCAAGGAGAAGTCACTTTTATTGATCCAATGCTTCTCTCTCAATATTATGGTGCAACCCACAATGAGAGAGTAGAGTGGATTGGAAAAAGTCATATATTCCAAGGATCAAGTAAGATATACTTCATTGCCTTCAATTTGCTGTTGATGATATTTGAAACTAAATTGGGCCCACAACTATTTGGAATAGATTGGAAACCTGAAAGGAAAAGAATTAAAGGAGATTTATATTGA